GGCAAAAATTAATTTCTGAGAGGAACTTATAGCTGGGAATAAATCAAAATTTTCCTCAACATCTCGAAAAAAACTTTTAATAGAATAAAAATCTTCACCCGAAAATTTTCTACAATTAGAAGAAATGTCTCTTAAAAGTAACCAGAACTGTGAATTCATTTCCGAATTCGCTAACTCATTCGAAAAAGAATTTACATTATTTTGTTTACTAAATGAATCATTTTGATTTGAAGAAAATGAAAGACCTTGAATATTTGATACAAGCTCTTCACTAACGGGGGTAGTTGGCTGACCTTGATTGGCGCCTACTGAAAAATCACAAGCATTAGTATTCTGATTTATTGGATTCGGCGGGCATATCGGATTATTAGTTTCATTTTCGTCTTCCGATAAAAAATCTGTGCTTAAAGTTTTTTGAAATTCAATAATGTTTGATAAAGCGTTTAAAATATTTTGACATAAAATTTGCTCATCACCTTCAACTTCTAAATGCAACAAATTAGGTACTGAAATAAATTCTTTTAAAGAGAGAATAGCTAACAAATTTTCCTTATGTTTTTCGAAATCAAAATCATCAGGAAATGCTGAAAAGTTTCTTATCTTTTTTCTCGATGTTCTATCGAAAACAGGGAGTGCTAGTATTGAATTTAAAGCTTTAACAGACTGAGTAGTTCCGTACTTTAAGGAATTGGCGATTAGGGGGATGTCTCCTAATTTCAGTGCCATGATTAGTTTACAATGGAAAATTTAAACAAATCGAAATTAGATAAACAGAGATTAAGAATTAAACAATCATTTATAGCGTGTGCTTTTATTTTTTGAGAGTGTTTATTACTATACAATGACAAACTTTATTAACACACAAAAATACTTAATAAATAATAATTCTTGGAAGTTAAGCCTCTTAACTAGAATAAAATATTAAAGTTAGAATTTCTGTTCTGCAACTGCTGTTCTCAGATTTCTGTGCATTCTTTCTCAGTTCATTCTTTCTTTAAAAAATTTTTTTATTTAATTGATTTAATTTGCTATTTCAACTTTCTTTTTCTTTATATAAATCTTATATTTCAGTCATTATTTTTAATTGCTGAACTTTTCGTTTTTCAAAAAAAATATTATTTATAAGGGTTTATTGTCATTTGGTACGGGTGCGCCATTGACGAAATGCTGAACCTGCCTCTTTATTCCCGCTTCATCTTTCAGCGAAGAAACAAGCAACAGCCTTCTCTTTAAAGAATTTCTTTCCACAAATAATTCTACATTAGGCCTTAATAAAAATCAAAGTTAGCCGCTTCTGAAAAAATGTTGAAAAAAACTGTCAATAAAAAGGGACAGAAAAAGTCATCGATGAATAAGTATAAGATGACAATGAAGAAATAAAATACTTTCATTTAAATAGATCGAGAAAAAAAAGTTCGCATTAAATTTTATTGTGTTTAAATTTAGACTATTCAAAGATTCCTTATAGGAGATTCATTACCATACAACCTGTCAAAGATTTAATTAAACAAATAAACAAAAGTTATTAAAAATAAACGTTTTTTATGTACATAAAGCGGTACATTTCCGGCGGCCACTTATTCTCTTCTTCTTTTCCTATAACATAATCAAATCAGGTTCCGCAGTGGACTGATCATTAAGACACGGTTCCCAGCAGATCACCTATGTCAAGCATCACTGGCTGCGGTCAGTGTACGGGTGGGTGACCACTTGGATCAGTCTGCGTAGGGACCGAGGGTGCGCGGTATGGGTCCTCGTTAAACTGTTCTACCGTAAAGTGCTCGACCTAGCGCGCAGGTCGTCGGGCTACCGAAGCTGGGGTGTCATCCCCTCTGCAGAGGATCAAAATTGTAATGGCACGTCCTCGAATCATCCTCAGGGATGTTTCCCAGACCGTTGCCAATAGCCCATTGTGCAGCTCTAGTGCGACGTAAATGAACTACAACAATAACGTAATCAGAATTCGAGATAGTTTAGTTGGGGGGAAGAGAAAACAACATTGAATTCAGCAATATTTTATACTAACATAGAGAAGCATTACATGTGGGAATCAATACAACATTAGGAATGAAATTATTCATGTTTGTTCTTGTTTTCAGAACTTCAGGAATTCCGGGAAAAACGGATCAATATTGAACTTATTTACATTTTATTACACACTCAATGGATGGTTGACCGTGTAAAACTTAACGCAGATGTCGCTGGTGGTAAAATTTTACCGTAAGACCTCCGAGATACTATTTCCGACTGAATTTTACGCATAAGCTTGAAAAAACGAGTCATCCAATATAACGCTTTGTTTCAATTTAACTTTCATCGAAAGAAACAACAAATGAGATCGGAAGACTTCGCAAACTTGCTATGACGCTATAGCGTCATTTCAAGAATATAACCCAATATCATACCATATCAATATCATACCCAAAATATAACAAACGGCGCTATTATACACAAATATAGCCAAATAAGGGATAACACTCAATACATGGTAAATCTTAAACTTTATTTATGCTGGGATATTAATTTTGTTAAATTTTTTTTAGGGTCACGACCTGTTAGAATTTATAAATTACAGAAAACTCTTGTGAATTTGTAAAATTACGCGTAGTAACTTTAAACACAAATAATAATAATAATAATAAAACTTCCTAGAATATGAAGCCTGTTCACACCCAGGGCGAATAGAAGGGCTAGTTCACTCCGCTCTTAGAGCTGAAGCTACGATTTACCTCCTCCGTGTCCACAGATCTCGGAGATCGCAAGCAAAGATATTATGATAATTTTGCATCTTTCTCTTTGTAAAAATAAGTTGGACTTTTTCTGGTTATTAGCTTTCAAACTTTACGTAATTAACACATTATTTCCGTTCATAAACATAGTTCAAAAAAACTTTCTTGGCCATTATATTAAAAAAAAATAACATTTTAAACTTATAAAAATGTTTTAATAGTTGACGAAAATGACACCATAAATATTTTATTTTAAAAAGTTCAGTTTTAACTTTAATTATTAAGAAAAATGAAAGCATATATCGACACTTTTTTATCTACATATTCTTTTATAACGATAAGTTAAGTTAAATTTAGAATCCCTGATTTTAAAATATGTCGTTAATAGCAATTTGTTCATACTTAATCATTAGGAAACATCAACCTTAAACGCTAATTACTGAAACAAAATAATAATTTAGGTTCATAATGACATTAGAAATTTTACAATTGTTTATAGACATTTAAATTTACGATGATATAATTTATAGATATTTAAATTGAAGAGAATATAATTTTTAAAAAAAATCATAAATATTTAGAATAACTACATTAAAAAATATGTTATGAAATTAGGAGAATTTCAACTATATACTATATATTTTATTTATACTTTTTACTTACATTTTAATTTTCTTTGACTTTATCTATTTTTTAATTCTTTTCACCTGCCTTTCTTTATGAAGTAACGAGGCGGTTTCTATTTAGATAATGAATTTTTATAAAAGTTCTTTACGACAGAATAAACGTATTGCTGTTTTATATTAACTGTGTCATTTCGGAATCCATTCTTTACATAGTTGTTCATTTACTTTAGGGAACACGCGAAAAATTATACTTTTTCCTTTTGTTTTTATATCAGAATTTTTGCAAGTTGCAATCGCGCAAACTGGCATTTCGATAATAGTTTTAAATTCTTGTAAATTCACTGCAAAAACTGAGGAAAGTCATTATAGAAAATAACAAATGTCTTAGAATATCTCGCAAAAAGAAATGATCCAATATTAGTTAGAGCTAGTAAGGCCAAACGCTCCGTTCTTGAAGTAAAAGTGTGAGCTTTGCGCCAAAGTGACGTCACTAGAGAAAATCGGAGGATTGGCGCGGTGAGAGCTACTTCAAGGGAGTGAACCAGCCCTTCTATTCTCTTTAGCCCTGGTTCACACCTCGCCTCGTAAATATAACATAAGCCGAGAGATGATCCGGAAGTTTTCTAAATTTTTTCCGGTTTTAGGACGCTTGTTATGGATGGTGTTATCAATATAAATGTAAACAATAACAGTCTCGAGCTCAATACCTGCTCTAAGTTTGCACCTGCTTACCCCAGCTTATTCTGCGAGACGATATTTTCCAACGGATAATTTTGTTTTCAATAAAAAAAAGTAAATTAGATAATTTCTGAGCTCAAATCTGCTGTATTTCATAAGATATTAATGTTATTAAATAATTCTGGTGAGTTTGAAGTGAAAATTTGCTTTAGTTATGTATAGTATTGTTAAAGAGGGTGATATGGTTGTTAGAATTTAAATAACTCGCTTTTTTGGCAGTCCTGATTTGGCCTCTCTCCATTTGTTTATTACTGTTTGTTCTTGTGGCAAGCGGTGCACCTTCTTACGTTAGTGTTAGCACCTTTAACATTGTAAACACAAGTAATAAGTAATCAAATACCACGTTTGCAAAAATCTTAAAAACAATGATTACGTTGTGAGCTAAATGGCTTTAAAATACACCGGAAACAATAACTCGGAAATATAGGCGGTATGGAGCTTGCAGCGTTCCCTAGTGTAGAAAACACCATCCATTGTAAAAATAGCATCATTGGTATTTGATTGCAATAAAAAGAAATTCTACAAAGATTTAGTAAGTTTTTCTCGATTTTACACTATTTTTTTCTCCTAAAATAACTAATGAAAAACTCGCGGCATTAGAAACAGTGGTGAGACGAAATTTAAAACATGCTTCTCTATGACCAATCAGAGATTTCATTGTCCTTGAGTAGAAGCTGGTTGCTGGTGGAATCTGTTAATCTGTATCATCAGAAGGCGAGTAAACACGATCTAAGTACTACTTTGATCAAGGTAGGCGCGCGCATTCAAATTGCATCATAAAAGTAAATAAAACAAAATTGGCAGCTGCGAAATGGTAGGGAAAAGGGAAAATGCAAAGGGGAAAATAAGATATGCACTGTTGTTGAGAGTATGATATATCAAATGAATAATCTCGGTCACAAAGATTTTAGGCTGAACGATTTTGTCTGAATCTCGGCTGCCAAGACAGTCCCTATTTTTTGTCTCTCTTTAGATTTTGAAAAATGGCAGCCGTGTAAGATTGAACTTGATTCGATGTTAATGGTTTCGGAGTCAAAACTTCAGTCGTGTTTGTTGTGGTTTTGAATGCTTGTTTGTAGATTAATTACGGACATTGTCATTCTTCTAAATTTTCTTATAATTCTAAAAATTTACTAAGATATGTTCATATCAATATTAGCTTTTCTTACTACTTTTTGGGAAATGTCAGTGAACTAGATGAAAATTTTATTTCTATTTTCAAAATTAATAAAGGTACAATTTTTAAGTTACTTATAATAATAAATAAATAAAATAAACCTGTGTTTATTGCAAATTATTCAACTATGTTGTGCAGCTAATTTATGAAATTTGGTAATATGTAATTCTTCCAAATTTTTTCGATATTCTAATCATTTGTTTACATTTTGTTTACGTAAGTATGGTGAATTCCAAATTTTTAACATTTCGTTGAATGTATTTTTCAGTTTTAAACTTATACTCTATATCATATAATTAAGCTTTTCGGTAAAAATTTTCTTTAATTAGGTATTGTTTATCAAGAAAACTTCCAGCCATTACTTTGTTTGTTATTTTTAAAATTTTTATGGACGTTTATAAATTGTGCTAGTTTGTATTTGATAAATATTTCATTTTCCAGGGCCCAACTATAGTGAACTTCAGTCAAGGACCTGAATTTTGGTTTAGTGACCCCAAATTCACAAAACCAAAATTCAGGTCCTTGTTTTGGTGATTTTTTAATTTTCAAAGTCAAAAGCTATCTATTAAAAAGTCACTCTTTTTAAAGAAAATTACAATATGTCAGAAAAACCTGTTCTAGTTTTTTGAATATTACCGATTTCTGCAATTAAGAAATTTTTAAATTATAATTCTTGAATAGAATTCAATAGTATTTTAGAAAATAGGTAAAGTAATCTTATTCTATTTATATTATTCTAATAAATGCATAGATTTTTACTCATTAAAGTGACGAATAATAAATCAAATTAACCATGTTTTACAAAATGTAGAAGGGGTTGATTTTAGAATAGCTATATGTGCCATGTTGGCGAAGAATGTTTCTTCGCCAGTGGTAATGAATAACTTTACTTGGTTGTTCTCTTAACTACTCATAGATACTATATCATTATCTCAACATCAAACCCAATGTATACAACACAGTATTTATTTTCACTTTCAAAATTTGGAAATAAAATATTGCTTTTGTGTAACAGAAGTACATTTAAAAGTATTTTGATACATCATATTTACTACCTTTTGTATTTATCAGTTTTATTTAATTTTTATTAGAATATCTACATTTATTTGTACGTAATTGGGATTAATTATTTTCTAATTTTTTTATTCTTTCTTAAGAACGATTAAGAAAAATAGTAGTGTATGTTATTAATAATCGTTGTGTATTATTTTTAGCAATCAGATTGATTAAGGAATGTGTATACAATTCCTTGATTTATACTTGCCCGGTATATCCCATAGTATTTTTATGAGGTTAAATGCCATTGTTCTCTGTATTTTCTATACTGTTGTTTTTCCTAATGTACCATAATCAATTATTAATTATAGTCGTAACAAGCTAATTAAAGGGAAATTTAAGTTTGTTAAAAGTTTTTATTTTATCAAATAATGTCAAATGTATATTTATTTTACTGTCAACTCAGTAATTTTTTTTTTGTGACCTGTATTATGGATATTGTTTTCTACACTAGGATGCACTACAAGCTCTTTCCCACCAAACTTCTGGGTTACTCTTTCCCATATATTTAAGTCATTTGGCTCAAAATGCTATCATTGTGTTTGAGACTCCCTTAAATACTTCTTGTACATGTATATTTGTTACTCGATTTATTGTTTGTGTTTAAAAAAAGAATCGTTATTTGAAGACATGTCATTTCAAGACGTATGAATCGTTATGTGAGAAAAAAAAACGATTCGTTATAAAACCCTTCTTACCTTTTCAACAGTATAGCAACTTCAAAATTTAAACCAAAATGATAATTTGTAAAATGAACCTAATCTCGCTGCTTGAAGAACATGCTAATTCAAACGTATTATGGTGCACAGCTTGCAACAAGAGCAAACAGTAATAAACAAGTAAAAAGAGGCCAAATCAGGACTGCCAAAAAAGGGAATTCTTTCTAAATCTAGCAACCATGTCACCTTCCGTTAACAATACATCTGTAAATAACTAAAACAAATTCTGACTTCAAACACCAGAATTACTTAATATCATTAATATATTATGAAATACAACAGATTTGAGCGCGGGTATTATATAATTTTTTTTATTGAAACAAAATTACTCGTTTGAAAACATTGCTTTGCAAAATAAACCCTAGTAAGCAGCTGCATACTTTCTAACTGGAAGTGGAGCAGGTCAAGAACTCAAGATAGTTTTTGTTTACACTAATATTGAAAACACCATCCATATACTTTTACAAGATATTTAATGAAATCATCAGATAAACTCAAATCTATTAAATCTAATGAGCATGACATTTTAGGAACAGAATTATTCTTAGTATTAAATGACAGCAAAAAATTTGTGCATAGTTTATTAGTTAAATTTCAAAATGCAAACTTGTTCGCAATAAAATGTCTGAGTTTAAATTACTTTTTTAATCCAAATAACAAATAAGAGTGATGTTCAAGTTGAGCTGTAAATAACATTTATAAAGCTGTCAATGGCATTTGTAAAGCTTTACCTTAAGTAACAAGCAATGTGTTGGGATAAGGGCTAGCATTTGACTTAGCAATCTACATTCTTGTTATCGCAGAAAGTTTTGGTGACTATATTTTCTCCGGTAATTAATGAATGAAAGATATAAATTAGACTGTTTCAAAAAATTTATTATTTTAAATTATAAAAATATAAATTGACTCATCTCAAGATCAATTGCATGGTCACATGGTGTAAGATAAGATGTAAGATTATTTCATGGCAGAGCATTTTATAGTGCTAAGAGTTTTGATTTGTATTAGCTTTTTCTTTCAATAATTTGATTTGATTTCTAGTTTTTTTTAATCTTTTTTGTAACATTTAACACATTGTTTAGCGGTGACGAGTTATCTCTTTTTTTTTTTATGCCCAAACGTTTTTGGCAGATAGCGAGTTAACTCATCATTTGTACTTGCAACATTGAGTTATCACTAAACAATATTTTGCATGAAATCACTAATTAGAATGTTTTTACTTTACTTAAATATCTAATTATAAAATAATAACTGATGACTTGACAAGCTTCTATGTTTATATACCTGTCCTGCATAATGTTAATATATTTATAGTGTTATCAGAGCCGGATTATACCTTTCGTAGGCCCTAGGCATAGCCGTTTTTGGACCCTCCCCTCCTTCTCCCACTCTTCCCCTCTTTTCAAAATATATGCTAAAATTTTCTTGCATATTTTTTTTTACATTTTTATTAATATGGATTTTAATTTACAAATTTGTTTATCGAACTTTATCTGCAATACCGAACTTTATCTGCAATGTATCTTCACAATTTTGTGCAAAATACACTTGTTGTTTTTAAAGCTAAATTATTCTTGTCAACAAATTTTTTTCTCCCAAGTTTTTTGTAGGCCCCTGAATTTCGTAGGCCCTAGGCACATGCCTAGTGTGCCTATAGGTTAATCCGGCCCTGAGTGTTATAGATTGTAATATATTTATTTTTATAAAAAGAATAAAATAAACTAGATTCATTGCTTTTTTATTCTAGAACTGTAATAACTCGTTGTCAATTGGATATAGAAATATACTTCTTAAATTAATTAATTTAATATTTTTAAATGATAAAAAAGTTACAGTATAGTTAATTATCTTCTATCCAATTGAATACTAAATTCACTTCATCAATTGAAAAATTATAGTTTTTTTTTGAAATTCTATAGATTTATTTACTTCTGAACCATATTTTCGCATAAATTAGTTATTCAAATATGTTGAGTAGAGTTTTATTTTGTTAAAATGCAAGAGTTTATTTTATTGATTAGTAATTTGTTCTGAATTGTTGGTATATATGATGCAAGAATACAATAATATGTATTACTGTATTAAATTATTCAAAAGATTATTCACTATTTACTAAAAAGTCAAAACCATCTACTAAATGAACACGTATTTCTTAGTAGGAAAATTAAATTTTCTTTTGCTTTGATCAACCCTTTCATTAATTAAAATTAATTTCTACACATTTATCATATAATCATCTATTTATCATAATATTAGGACTTTTAGTAAACAGATCATAGTTATAAAACCTGCAGATCATAGTTGTAAAACAAAAATATTAAAACTACTAATTTTCAGCACCATAAAGGAGAAAATTGTTCCTTAAATTAACAAAAACTGGAAGAACAGTTAAGAAAAAACATTTCAAGAAAGAAATTTCTGTAGAAGAAAAGATGAGGGGATTGACTAAACTTTCCTACAGTATATTTAAACAATTTTGAATTCTTCAGTTATGAAATCAGTTATCTAATATTCTGACAAATCTGAAATAATTCCTTGCTATTACACAAATACTTTTTTTTTTGTTACTTTTACCGAAAATAAAAAAAGAGCCTTTCTATCTTATGTTTTCTTTTTCGCGAATTTAGAATGTTCTTTCTGTCACTATAGAAAAATTTACTGTTACATGTTAAAATTATTACTTAAGAAAATTAAATGTCGAAAAATATACACACTTTTATGCTCATAAGATAAGAGATTAAAATTAGTTTTTATTTTAATGTCATCCAATTTTATTTAATTACAAATGCACCTAAAATGATGTGCAAAAAATTGTTTAATATCATAGACAAAAACTTTAAAAAAAATTCATTTGTTACTGATTTTTTTAAAAAAAAAAAAAGAACAGGCTTTTTTAAAATAAAAGGTACGCAAGATTAACTTACGCCAAAAGAGGGAAATCATTAAATAATATTTAATAGTAATTTTATGCTTTATTTAATGCAATGATTATTAAAATGTTGCATGTTATCAATTAATATTAATGATCTAATTCATAGTATGAGTCATTTTCAGTTGCTACCAAATTAAGAAATTAAATAAAATGCACAATTAAAGAACTTTGCTTAACAAAATTATGGAAAATTGTTCTGCTTAGATATGTTCTCATTTTAGATCCAACTTGTTTCATTTTCTGTTTCGACCTTTTAAAAGAAAATTAAAAGGGTTTTCATTAGAAAATTTAAATTGTTTAAATTCCTTTTTCATATTTCTTGAATAAAATTATATTTAATTATTTTTATTATGCAATAAATATAAAATAGTAAAAAATTTACTTTTACTGCAACTTATAAATTTGTTTTTTTAAAGTAATTTAATTTTTTAATGTAGAAACTAATGAACTAAAGCAGAATTAATTAGAATCACAAATTGCTATTTTTTGTTGAAAGAAAATTTTAAATTAGTTAACACAATCTGGGCTATGTTTTAAGCGAAATTTGTGTTAGGCACACTATAACTGCTTCCAGTTATATTGTACTAACCAGCAACAATTATAAGTTTTATAACTTTATTTTTTTTAGCTTTAAAGCTTATAAACCATTAAATTCAGTGATTATTAAAAACCATTTTCTTTTATTTAACATAGTTTAGTATGTCTGGAAGAAAAGATAGAATTTCTGCTTCAAGTAATTCATATGAAAATAGTAGTAGTGATGCTGAAGAATCTGAAAATGTGGATGAACGATGTGGTCGAGTGTGTAAAGGAAGTAGTGGGTAAGTTATATGATACTTAACAATTATTTTTAATCCCAAATTTTTCTGTGTCCAATAAAATTTTAATCTTGAAGTTCAATTTTTCACTGTTTTCAACTATAGCTTAATTTCTTTTACCACACTTGATAAAGTATTTGTGAAAGAAATTTCTAAAATTATTGTGGCAAAATTGTCATTTTAGTTGCATTGAAGAAAAATATTAATCTAAAGAGCATTTTGGGTTTAGGAGATCAGCATGCAATTTTATTATCTGTTTACAGTTGGTGGTATATAATGGCAGCACTGTGATTAGTGTAGGCCAGGAGCAATATTTGATCACAACCGCCATAAATGGAACTATTCATGTCTGGGTCAGAAGAAAGTATAATTTTTCCATTAGTACCAAAGTACCATAACTTTTAGTTAACTATTGTGTCAGTTTACATTTTTTGTATTGTATGTGGCTAACTGGGTAAGCATCAATGACCTAGTTAATTATTTAGCTGAAACAACTTATTTGAAATTTTCTTTATTATTATTTGAAGTTTATGAATTTAAATTATAATTTGCTTTGTATGTAATTATTGGGTTTAGAATAAAAATAATTTGCCGTGCCTGACCCTGATAATACAGTAGATGAAATTGAGATGTTTAAGCATTTTACTTTTCTGAAAATTTATAGAAGCACTGTTTTGCTTTAACCTGTAAATTGGGCCTTTTTTTATCTAATGCCCAAATAAAGAGGCAAAGTGTAAAAACCTGCTACTTGCTCTTTTTTTTTTTTTTTTTTTTTTTTTTTTTTTTTTTTTTTTTTTTTTTTTTTTTTTNTTTTTTTTTTTTTTTTTTTTTTTTTTTGGAAAAGAAAAGGATCTGAATATCTGGTCAAGGTTTTATTCAATATGAACTAACTTTTACAATTTTAATTAGCTTTATTTAAAGTTTCTAAAAAAAAATCCTATTTAATATGCTTTGTTGTGCAGTTTCTGATCACATTTTCTTCATTTACTACTTGTTGTATATAGGAATAGTTAGCTCAAATATGAAAAAATATGAGATTTTACTTCATTATATAAAATTGCCTACATTCAAGCTATTGTTTTTGAATATGTAATTCTGTAGATAATGTTTTATGAAGCTGCTCAACTTGCCAAACCTGGGTATACTCTGTAGTTAAGAGGGCAAAGCCATCATCGGAATAACTGGCTCATTAGGGATTTCTCATACAATCTTGTTCACTGCACACCCATTCTACAATTTTTAAGTTTTGAATTTTAAATAAAAAATCTTAAACAACTAGGGTCAAATTGGGTAATTACTTCCATGGGATATTGTGACCACTGCCGAATTTAAAATACTCATCGAGGGTAGGATTTCAAAAGATCACTTTATCAAGTTTTGTGTATATATTTTGCTTATGAAGCCTTTAATAGCTCTTAGATAAAAATATTGAATCAATATTTAAATAATTCCAAAAGACTATTTAAATCTTAAAAAACATTTTTGGCATATGCTGATTCAAAGTGATTTCAAACATTCAAATAAAATGTTTGTGGTAAGTGCAAATCTGTTTATAACTAAACCCATGATGTTTTTTCTTCCACTTTTGAACACTTTCTGTTCATATTAAAATTTATTGCTGAAAGGTATGTGGTCAAAATTACCTCCCTTTTTTACCAAATCGTAATCGTGGCCATATTTCATGCTAACTCAAAACAGAGAAAAAGCACTGGTTTAAGTGTCCCTTTTTTCAACAGACATAGAAAAGTTCAAAATTGGTCATAATTACCCCAACTGACTCCAGTATTTAAAAAAAGATAAATTACAGTTTATTTAAAAAATACTTTGAGTTCTTATTTAAATTATGCTAAAAAGTTAGTTGTTGAGTACACTAATTTATTGAACTTCTAAACATAATAGTTAGGTGTATTTTTTGACATAAATACCTTCTACAAGCCTAGTGGAAAATGGTGACATACAGCTTTAAGTTAAGCTGCAAATTTGACTGAAATCACCTATTTTTGGTGAAAATGTGCTAGAATTTTAAAGTTTGAAAGATTACTGTGGAGTTGCACTGTAACTTTGAAAATGCAGCCGGAAACTCAATTTTAAGGTTAAAATTGGACTAACTTCAATTACAACCGTACTATTATAAGCTATATATAATTGTCAAATAGATTAGAACTTTTTATAGTTGAAAAATTAAATTTTTATTAGAAAGAAATTAAAAAATTTCATTGTTCAACTTTTTTGTTAACGATAGTTGTAAACAATTATTACTACACTCAATTCACCATATTACATAAGAATATTTTTTGTTTGATGTCACTCAGAAATGAATCAATTTAAGTATAAATGTTATTTATAATTTAAGAACTAGGGACAATATAATAATAAGCCACATTTTCAAATTGTTATGGATAGCATTTTTGTTGAAAAACTCCTTGATTTCCTTGTAAACAAAAAATGGCCACCTCTATAAACCCTTATAAGGCATAGGCTAGTGGTCATATGCTAATATTGTAGACAATGATTGTAATTGTGGAAATTTGAAAATTTCCTCTTTGTGGAATCGGTGCTAAAGAACAGGTAAAAACGTCACACTTGGAGATAAAGGGGCGTATCATTGTATTGCCCCAAAGCTGTTTCAGTTCAAGACTCATGAAGTTTCCAGAAAAAAAAACTGTTAAATGCTTTTTATGTCCAGGCCTTACATCAAAACTTGTATTTTTGATTTTTTTTTAAAAAATAAAACCCTAGGGAGTCCAGCTTTTCTTTCTTGCAAATTAATGAATAAATTAAACTGAATTTTATTCAAACATTGCTTTGTACACTGTTTAAAAAATAAAAAAATCAATCTTTGATAATCTTAATACTATTATGTACTTCATTAAAGAAATGCTTTGAAAAATTTTTTTTTTTCGAATTTCAGATGCATCTGAAGTTTTAATATTTTATTCTAAGTGATGAATTTATGTCTAATAAAACTGTCTTTAGAATAAGTGTTTTGAATTGAACACAGGGTGTTTATCGTTTTTAAAAAAAATTGTTATTTTTGACTTTAGGTGCTTTTTACTTGGTATTTGTAAAAAGAGCTTAACTTTCTTTTTTAATTTCTAACTTTTTAAAATTCCAAGATAGTAAAGTTTTAAATTTTTTCATTCGTTATCAACTACAATTTTCTACAAAATTAAAAAAAGTTTTTTTTTCTTGCACATGTGCAGTATGAAAAATTAATTAAAATGCTCATATCTTGTTAATATTTTAACAAACTTTTTTCAAATTTTAATTGTTGATAATTAAAAATTTTCTTAATTTTATAGAATAATTTTTAGGTTATAGCAAAAACCTAATAAAAAAAAATTCGCTCTTATACGAGTGTCCCGACATCCATAAATATTTAAGCTAGGTTTACGAAATTTTATGCAATTATTGCATCTAATAACCAAAGTAAATCGAGACAAGTTAGTTACAAGTTTATTGCTATATTTTCTGACATTAGAAATAGGATTTATATTGATCTTAATACTTTAAGATCAATATTAAATCCTATATTATTACTATTCATTGTATATTATAGGTAATAACTGTGAATAATATTATCAATCTAAATATTGATATTAGTGGACAGTTACAGAATCTCTTAAAATTTTTTGTCAATAAATACGCTTTGGAAATTCTCTCCTAAATCCCGAAATCTGTTTCCAAAATCTGAATCCCAAAATTCCCAAAGTGTTTTATTTATTTAATTAAACATTTAAATTGCCCAAAAAGGTCTTCTTAGAGATTTTCTTTTAAAGTAAATATTTACTAATGCAGTTTATTTTACCTTTTTTACTATGTATTAGATATTTAAATATGCATTATCGTTCATATCTATTCTCAATATTATTTTTTGGGTAAATAGGAATTTCGCTATAGTTAGAAACTATTTTTATTTTTACATTTATAAATTTTAATTCCTCTTTCTGAAATATAGTATTTACAAAATATCCATTTTGGCAGTTGTTTTACATTAAACTTTTAGTAGATATTTATTATTTTTTATTATATTATTTTAGAATGGTCGAAAATATTTTGAATTGTATACAATTAATCATGGTCGAAAATATTTTGTATACAATTTTTTGCATCATTTAAGGAATGTAATTTTACATGGCAAAATACAAACTTTGAGAGAATTCTGTCGAATAGTTCATGAGAATTGAATTTCAAGAAAGTTAGATACTTAAAATTCGATTTCTCAAGAACTATTATGCCGATTTTGCTCAAATTTTGTATTTTGCTATGTAAAATTACATTCTTTAAAATGATGTAAAAATTGTAAACCTTATAATTAAAAAATTTTCGACTAATATTAAATAAAATAAAAAATAAATATTTACTAAAAGTAATTTTTTGCATGGAATTATCTTTGGCTAAACGAATTTTATAATTGTCTATAGAAATGTTTAAATTTGCTTAAAAATTTCTTGAGATATAAAAAAATACGCAAAAAGTAAAATTAACATGAAGGAGTCCAAACTTTGGAGCGCTTTCCTGACCAAACTGTTGAAACCATATTTCCCAGATTGTAGCTACCCCCTATATTTTAGGAGTTTGAAATCCTAAATCGTCAGAAAAATTGTATGTTAATTCAAAAAATTACGCTTTTGTGTTTGATTTCGTAACTTAAAATATCGCTTACACTTATTAATTAGCTTATTTTTGGTCATCCTCTTGAGCCATTAATATTGTGTCCTAGAACGTAAAAATCCGATCATTAGATGAGAACTTATTCAGGGTGGTCCGTTTATTTTTTTGTGCACTGTACATGAAAATTTAAATAAATCATGAATGTACAGGTATTCCCTAATAAGGTACAGGTATTCCCTGTATTCCCTAATAAGTAAACTAATTATAATTAACAAAAAATATAAACGTTTGTTTAAATGAGCAAATAATTTTTATCAATCAATCAATTTAAGGGTTTAATGAAGTTATTCCCTATATTTTGTACAGTTAGTAGAATAGATTTCCTAATT